AGGTGCATCATATTTATGCATTTTGGAAAAGGTTATGATTTATCACAAGAGGACAGGATTGGAAGTGGCACGGTCCTTCTTCTGTCTGCCTAACTCATACCTCCACAAAGGTGTCCTGACAATAAAAACCGTTCTGCTGTTGAAAGATGACATACTTTCTGCCTTTGGACACTGCCACATAAAACTTCCTTTGTATCCTGCTGAAATGTGTGGAAGCACATTTCACAAATGTCAGTTAACACTAAATATTTAATCCCGTGGAAGATTTGTACTACCTCCAAGCCACCCAGTTAGACAATCTTCCCCTTGCAGAGCTCACAAGGCACAAGACTGACCCTCACTTTTAGTCCTCTTGAAAAACATCTAGCTGAAGGTATCTGTTCTGCATTTTCCCTGAACTTCTCCAGAACAGGTATTTGTTGTACAAAAGCTGCAGGCTCAGGGAAGCATTTAACTTCAATCATGTGGAAAATAGCCCATTGACTTTAATGTCACCACTCATGGGCACAAAGTTAAGCACACGCTTAAGTCTTCTGCATATCTGGATTCCTTGTATAATTTCAATTTAATGTGCCGCAAAGTACAATGTGGGAAATAATTCATTTTTCAGTTTCACAGCCAAGCATCTATTACTGCCAGAAAAGAGCAGGTCCTTCTCTTTCTGTAGGTTTTTCAGTGAGGCTTTTGTTTTGTATCAACCTGAAATGTTCCATTCACCCATTCACCTCAGATCCACCTATGTCGTTTCATCTTCCAATTATCTCTGTCTGTCCCCTTCCTTTGTCACACAATAAAAAAATCTTTTTTCCACTTTTTTCCCCCTTAAATGTAGGTCACTTTTATGAGTGGTGCTTTTAGAAAATGACATGTCAAAATACATGTCAGAAATATCAAAATATTTTGCATAAAGTATACTAAAATGAGCTATTTTGGAAAACATCAGAAAATCCTTCTCCCTTCTTATACTCTCCTCAAGTTTTTGGGTCTTTTTTCATAAAAATACTGGCCAGTCTTATCTTCAAAACCTACCTTTCAAAAAAAGAAATAAACTCATATCTATTGAAAAAATAACTGACCCATGCTGCACGTGTCTCAACATTGCATTAACATCTTAAAAAGCAAATAAGTCAAATACGTGTGAAATTTCAGCAATCTATATCAATTTGGAGGCATATAGAAATCAATTTCTCTCCTTTTCATGTCAATTACAAATTACCATTTTGATACTGTATTAACTTTGGCATTTCCAACTAATTTATAGGAAAGGATAGTATTTTTTTATTATTATTAACCTACTGTCTTCTAAATCATTTTATTTAAATGCCCTGCTGGCTGTCCACATTTGCTTTTATTCTATTACTACTTTATATGAATGGAAATTACGTATAGCTATTAGATTACTTCACACATTAGTTCATTTTATATAGTCTTTCCTGTATTTATTGCCTTCGTTAGACCAAAATACCGCAGGCGCTTGTTTCTCTAATGTGTCTGAAGCTCTCCCACTAATGGAAATTGGGTTATATCTTCTGATTACACTCAGATGGAATCCAGACCCAGGAGCTGACTGCTCCTGGGACAGGGCTCAGGGAGCAGCAGCCCCCACACGGATCCTGGATGGATGCAGCCCAGCAGCACGTGCAAAGATGCTCCAGCTGGGCTTGCTGGGAGCTGGCACGGCCAGTGTGGCACTGCCAGGACCACCTCCAGCCCCTCTGCTGCACAAGCTGGACCAGTGGAGGTGGAAGGTGCTGCTTCGGCACCTGTGCAGGAGGAAAGTGGTTCAGCACGCCCCAAGCACAGGGAGCTGGAAAGGAGATGCTGTCAATAGTAGGATTTTTCCTGCAGAACTGATGAGGCCAGCGCTGCTCTCAGGCAGGAGCAGGTTTCTCCTCCCTCAAACTTCCCATGGCTGCCCCAGAGTTAAGAGCTAAAGCTTGATGCGTGATTTAGCAGATCCCAAGGTTAACATGGGGGAACTAAGAGCCATCAAAAGGTGGGTTCCTGCACCAACTCTGGCACCTGTTTAGAGCCAGCTATGTTCAAAGGGTGGCATTCAGCAAGGTGAGCATCACCTGGGACAGAGAGTGAGTGTCAGAGGTCCCTACATTCATACAGGGGTCCTCCAGACACCCTCTGTTGAACCTGGTAACACCTTGGGACAGAGGCACCCAACCCAGCTCAGACAGACATGCTCAAGCGTCCACAGAAGCACAGTGGGGGCATGATGTTAGTCATTGTCTTGCACGCCATTAGGAAGTAAATGCTGGGGCACAGCCAAGACATCAGCCAAGAGACATCCACCATCCTGAGACATCTGGAGCATTTCAGTCTGCTTTTCTGGGGAAGTGGCATGCTACCAGCTGTAGGCATCTCTTGCAGTAATTCAGTAATCCAGGCAAAATCTAAGGAAGACGGTCCAAGGAGAGGGTTGCTGTTGCAGAGTGTAGCCAGCCTGACCTTGGCAAGTGCACCTCACCCAGGCACAGGAATGGATTTTGTGAGTGCATCTGGCATTTTGGCTGCTCTACAGTGCCAGTGGGACGCCTTCCCCAGGTACTGTAGAACTACAGAGATATTTGCAAGCAGATCTGGGTCTAGGCAAGTAGGAACAATATCATTTTGTTACTGTCACTTTGCCTATTGTCTTGGATTACATCATCTGCTGAGTCCTTGTGCTGGACACAGGTGCTCTTACCAGCTGATGGAGAAGGCCAGGAGACCAATCTGCCTGACTTTTGCTGTGGACACCAGATCATACATTTGGGATAAAAGAGATTGGAAGTGACAATCTTTCCTCTTGGAAAAGAGTCTTTCCCACCTGGCTTTGAACAGTGACTGCCTCTTTTGAAAGTCTGAACTGGCTTTAAGCAGGCAAGAGAAGTGAGGTAGAACACAGGCCACTTCCATGTGCCCTGGATGTGGCTGTGCCCTTCATCCTGGCCAAGCAGTGCATTGAGAGGGTCAGTGAGTCGCAAGCAGTGTGCAGGCTTCAGAAAAGGGTAAAGATGAGATTCAGAAGAGTGAATTCCTCCCAGACCAGGGGATCTTGAAGCACTGTGACAAATGTCTCGATGACAGCTCACAAATCCTGCAGGGCCCTTTGCATATTCAGAGAGTAAAATCCATAAGCCCAGTAGATCAAGCTCATTCACTCACTTTGTTTTGGATGGATTTAGTCCCACCTGTTTTTAGTGCCCAAAGGCAGCTGTTGGCCTTCAGTTTCACCAGCCAATTTTCATTTGTTTCCAGATGCTCTGGTAGATTGTAATCTTACCCAAATATTGCACTTGCACTAGCAGCTACATTTGAGGCATACCACAATCCTCTGTGTACTACAGCCTTTCTCTTCCCCAAGGAAAAAAGCACATATGCTTTAGCTTAGCAAAAGTAAATAGAGGTACGGTGGCAGAGAAAAGCAGAAGAAAATGGCCTCAATCCCATACACACAGGTGGCCCTAGAGTGAAATCAACTGAAACAGGCCTAGGAATTTGTATTCAAAGGCTCTGTGAAGCTCCAGGAGTCACTGCTTTCAAATGATATTTCATGCACATCTCTCTGCAGGTATGAAAAATATCTTGAAAAACGTGAGAGCATGTTCTCTCCATGAGCCTAGGCACAGCCTGAAACAATAGATCACAGGTACAAACTATCCCATTTAGCTCAGATAGTTGAAAACCTAATGATGACAAACTAATGTTACCTCTGATAGGGCTGGCTGGTTTTGAACAGTATCTTTCAATCTGAAGGTTAGAGCTCACAGCTTCTAAGGAGTCTCTGCAACAACCTCCACCTGACAGAAAAGCATTCTCCAGTCCACCCTATCCTCAACACAGCACTTTGCAAATGAGGAGACAATGTGAAACAAATTGAGGTCAAAATTAAAACAAATAACAGGAGCACTTCTGCATGGATTGTATTATTCTGTGCCATGTTTCATTCCAGAAAAAAAAAAAAAAAAAACCAAAAAAAACTAAATGAGTAAGAAAAACTCTATGGTTAATCCATCACAGAATTTCCAGCCTGCTGAACAGGACACAGTATACACAGGAGGCCTGGCCACAAATTATTTCTAGACTGTCATGACGGACACAAGAGTCAGTACCCATAACCAACCCAGCAGCCACAACTGATGCTTGCAGTCCTCCTCTTGCTGCAACCCCCATAGCAATGTGTGCAACCCGTTGCTATTTGGCTGCCCTGCAATGGCATGACCCCTTAAGCAGCCCCAGTGACTGAGTAACAAGCTCAGCATGGGCAATCAAGCCTCACAATACACAATTCCTTGTGAGCAGCCTCACCACAAAACAAAAATAAAGGAGTGCACAAAACATTACACCCTCACAAGCCAAACAGTGCTACCCTTCATGTATCAGCAATCTTCTCAAAACCCTCAAGTGTTCAGAGTCCAGCAGAAGTGAATGCTCTGCATGGACAAAATGCTGTGCAGATAAACAAGGCATTGAAATGCAGTCTGAACACAAAATGATTTTTTGTGGTAAGCCTCCAAACACCTCGAAAAACAGCAGTATAACTTCAAATGCAAGCAATAGCAAATCATGAAAGGCACAGTGATTTACCCCCATGGACAGAACTTGTTTTCAGAATAAATTAACAGATCATATTTGCTAGCCTAATGGCCAACATTCCTACCCAAGACAAATTATTTAATTCTGAAAAAACGGGTTACAGCCACTATACACATCATCTCCAAAGCTCCATTAGTTTGTTTCTTGCTGACAGTCAAGGTGTGGTTTGAGACTGTGCAAGCAAGCACAAGTCAGTTCTGTCTATAATTCATTCCTGAAGTGCTTAACACATGTAAAAGTGCAACTGAATACCAATGAAGAACAGCCATGCTATGTAAACTAGGGTCTAAAGCTCTGATGATGCTACTCTGAAAACACCTGCCCACTTTCCTTGTGAAAAGAAAAAAGAGAGGGTAGAGCAGCCTATTCTGTGGAAAAGGCTGCTTTGAGGGTTTGGGTGGATACATTACCTTTTTGTCGCTCAAGCCAGACACCTGGTCCACATATTCCTCTTGGATCATGAAGGCAGCCAGGTTGGCAGTGTAGCTGGCCAGAAAGATGACAGCGAAGAAGGCCCACACCGACACCATGATCTTGCTAGTTGTACCCTTGGGATTCTGTACTGGCACAGAGTTGTTGAACACCAGCCCCCACAGCAGCCAGATAGCTTTGCCAATGGTGAAAGAGGGACCTCCTGGTTCTAGAGTGATGGAGAAACATGATCCCACAGTGAACATCTGAGAGTAAGTGGTCTGTATTTCCAGTCATATACACATCTTGAGTTAAGAGCAGAATCTATTCCCACTTGGAGGTGAATATCAGCAGCAACACTCCCCTAAATTCATGTTACCATATCTCAGCTAAGTACAACCTGAATTTTTTTTTAAAAAAATGTCCTCGGGTTTCCATATTTTTCTATCTCAGGGATTTCCACTGAAACCTTATACAAGGGCACTTTTTTATTAGATTGAAGTATCTAGAAGACCAAACATTTAATTTTGGTTGAGGTGTTGTCCCCAGAAACAGAATTTGCACAGAAACATTCTATCCTCATTTCCATCTGTTCAAGAGTAATGTCCTCAAACTCCCAGCATACATCTGTGTAAAACATGGCTCTCTTTACTGTACTTGTAAAGGTGTGAGGAAGCGCACCATCTGAAATAACAGGGCTCTACAAATACTTTTTCATGAATGTTTCATTACTCAGCCTGTTGAAGATCCACAAACCAGAGAAGAACACAGCTCCCTCTCCCCATATTTTGTGTCTAAGGTACATGACAGTGACATATACTTGTCTCACCTTAAGAAAATCTGCAGGTCTGCCCTAGATAGTCCAGAAGCAGATCCAATGTTTTAAAACCTCCTATTTTCCCCTTATTCACTTTTCAGTGTGGAAGCTCAGTCACACCCCAGAAGCCATGTGTGCTAATGAAGCACAAAATCTGAAAACATGTGAAATGGCACCTGTCTCCCAGCAATCTTGTAACCCCAGCACATGCTGGTTCCATTAGTGGGAACCCAACCCAGAATTTCCTCAACTTGAGCACAAGAAGAGCTGAGAGGGAGAATGCCAATATGATCACTCCTTGGAATGTGATCACTCTTCGGACACTGAGAAGATCCTCTTAGGATGAATGGAACAGTTCAAGCATCTGTCCTTTCTCCAATGGCGCCAACCTGACCAGCATCCTACACATTATCTCCTCAGGCAGGCTGATTGGGTCCCAGTGCTGCTGCCTGTGGTTAAGATTGACTCCAGCAAAATAGCAAAAGGGAAAAAAGTTTTGACATGCCTCTCCAAACCTCCGAGCAGTGAATAGCATTGATCATCTGGAAACACTAACCGTGTTACCCTAAATATAACTGAACAATGTAAGGGGCTCATTTTTTACCCAGGGAACTGCATACCAAGTTCAGAGCAGAATCATTGCCTGGTAAACAGGTGCCTTTAAATTCCAGGGAGATAAAGTTCCTAAGAGAAACATAGTTTTGCAGTCTTTGTCTTTTTACATGCTGGAGTGGTATTTTTACATCTCTCTCTAACTAATGTGCCCTAAGATATACAGGTGAAAGGTCTGAAAAACATCAGTGGGAACTGTATGGTAGAAGGAAATCTTGAGAAGTTCCCTTTTAAAAGCCTTCCTCTCCCCACTGATCACCCCACGTGCTTCCACAATTACTTTGTCAGACAAAAAACAAGATTGTAATGGGGGATTACAAGTCCTGATGCCCATAAATAGAAAATGCAAGTGTTTGAGGCATACTGTCAGGGGGGTACTGTCATAGTTCAAATGCAGCCAAAGTAACATTAGCCAGGGTTTTCATTACCAAAATCAGTATTGCAGTCTCTGCAGCAGATTTATGTATCTTCATAATTCATCTCTCAGGGATAATATCTGTCTGATAATGCAATACTCTTCATAATTACTCAGAAATATTGATACTTGTAGCTGCAGTTCAGCTAACTTAACAACTGCACAACTGCATGCCTGTACTAAAAACTGCTTCCAGTTCCACATCTGTATTAATCCCTCCTAAGAGACTCAGGTTTCTCAGTACTTGTGCCCACAGATCCAGGTGTCATAAGGGCCCTCCATAGTTCTGTGTTAAGAGACAAGTTATCCACTCCCCCATGTATGTGATTCTCCCTGCATTCTCATTAACACTTTTTATTTTCACTCCTCTCTAGTTTGATGGCATAAACTCACTCAAAGCACTAGACCTGGGAGCAAATGAGTGCATTTTCCAGTAACTGTCTCTTTCCCACTATTCTGTATGAACCAATAAATCCAGAAAAATTTGAAGGGCTGATTCACCAGGGGGTGAAAATATGCAGATGGCAGAAGACTCAACTTGCTAATTGTTTTCATGTCAATAAGGGGAAAAAGGCTGTATCTTAGGAAGGACAGACAGCCTTTCTTTAATTCACCTGTCTGCCTTCTGAAGATCAGAACCACAAAATTGGATCACTTGCTTGGACCCAAATTTCCTGCTGCCCTTGAAAAATAATTCTTTACCCATTCCCAAGAAAATTAGTTTCCCATTCTCTCAGTTGGTCTTAGAAAGCCAGAAAGGCAGGGAAGGACCTGACCAGATGACAGATGTGGATTGTGGAGGACACAGCACTATGCCAGGAGGCCAGCAGAGTGACTTGCTCTGCAGGGAGATGTAGCACTGAAGGATGGATTGAGAGTGCTGAGCCCTGTGATTGCCTCAGAGTACAGCATTGTAGGCCCTGCCAGCACTGGCTACCAGGGCCCATTTTACTTCAATGAGAAACAAGTTGGAGCTGGTATGTGCTTTAGACATGAAAGGCGACACAGCTCCGTCTCTCATGCCAAGCAAATTATCCATTATACACATCTGCTCTCTTCACAGCCTTTTTCCGCCTCCATCCCTGTCCTTTTCAGTCTGAATGCAGAGCTCAGAGCGGGCTAGATCCGTATCGCATTCAAGGCAAAGAAACACCCCAACAAACAAACAGAGACTGGAAACCAGAGGGGATCATAGCAAGAAACAGCTCTCCTTACCTCTGCCATCAGCAAGGCACCGATTATAGCCCACAGGGCTGAAGTACTCAAAGACAAAGACAGCCACCGCAGAGATGATAAGCAGCATCACAAACATCATCACCCATACGTCAGCACTGAAAGGTTCTGGAGAGGAAGAGAAAACCATGGTGAAAGACCTGATAATACCTCACCTCCTTTGCTCTCCAGAGAAGCCCAGTGTGGGGCAAACTGGGTTGGGGAAAAGCAGAAGCTAAAACAAAGTCTTCAACCTGATTCTGAAAACTTCTTGAACTGGAAAAACTGAAGTTTCTGTCTCTGTAATGACTGCATTCCATCGTACTGTTACATTTGTGACACATGGCTCCATCTGGAACCACACACAGCCATTGTGGCATGCATTGATAAAATAAAACACATTGATAAAAGATTGTTCCCAGGAAGTCCTTCAGCACCATCTGGAGAGAGTGGGGAAAATCAGGCAGAACTGGCAGAGTGTCAGACATGCATCCAACTTTCAAGATGTTATCGAGCCAAAGAGAATCTCCAAATTTCTAACGTTCAACCATAATGACAGTAGATTTTTAGTATTCCATCCCTCTAGCAATGGGAACACTGGCTCGTTCTAGAAATGTTAGTGTTCATGTTCTGCAAGTATTTTATCTCTGCCAGGTTTTCTCCTTCTCCCAGCTTGAACAGAAAAAGATAGGACTGAACCAGATAAAAGAGACAAAGAACTTTGCTCCAGAGTATAGCCAATATTGCAATTTCAGCTAAATTGCAGTTTAGAACTTAGGAGATAACTTTAACATTGCTTTTACATATCCCAGCAATATTGGTGGACTTGCTAAGGGAAAAAACTCCTGAAGAATTAGTAGTCTTGAAACTCATATCTAAAAAGGTCTGAAAAAATTTCATTACCCATATAAAATTATTTCTGTCTGTGAATGTTCTCGGGACTCTGGCAGAGAGCAGACAGTAATTACATAACCCATATACTGTGTTTGCGGCATCATAAAGCATTTTATAAAGGCAAACAGTAGACACTAGGAAGGCACGAATGTCTTGGGGAAATACAGTATCATTTCCTTATTCTCTGATCACCCTCCATCGCTGAAGGACATTAGAAATGCCTTTGTTGTAAGACACAGTGTCAGCACAGAACCGATGGCTCAACTGTTCTTGAAAAGGTCTATTAGTTCTCTAACTTCTACTAGGTGTCAAGAGAGGGCCAAGTTAACAATATCTTTACAAATAATGTCCCTCAATGTGCAACTATTTATTGCAAATTGCTATCACCAAGTGTTACAGCATCCCAGCTATAAGGTTTGAATCAATTTTCTTCTGGCCTACACTCCTTGAACACACTATTAGTTGAGTCACTGGGAAACCACGTGCTGCGATGTATGTGACAACTCTGAGTGAGCCCAATTTTTCTAGGATTAGGCATACATTTGCTGAAAAATGCCTTGGCTTGGAACTCATAGCAGGGCCTATTTGCACTTGCATTTGCCTGGATTTTGCTTGCCTGGGATTCAGTTCTAAAACATCACAGTATATTTTTATACACCTGTCCCACAGGTACTCCCAAAAAAGAGCTTTCAGGCTAAGAATCACAAGCAACCTTCACCTAATTTTTTTTTATGACCACCGGGTGAAGTTTTAATTTTAGATTGAAACAATACCTAAGAAGGCAGAAGGTGAGACAGTTCCATTGCTACGTGACACCATGACACTGATTCCCGTCTCAATGAAGGGCACAGAGAAATCCACCACTTCTGAACGTTCCTCATTAATGGTGAGGGATCCCACAGCCATATAGGCCCGTTTGGTGACAACCTGGAGGAAGAAAAGAAAGAGATCACACACAGACATGAGGCAGCCCTCAAGCACCACAGCCAAGCCCCTTCTCATCTTCCTGCCTTTCAAGACAATCCTTTTACTCCTGTAATCCCATTCCCTATATTGTTTGTAACATCTCTCCTTTCTAATCTTTCATCAGGGTACCTTCTTCTTTCAGAAAACCTATAGACATTAATCTTCTCCTCAAAGCTGGTATGTGTACAAAAAATAAATCCACAGAGGTCTTAGGATAAACACATCATCCACAGAGAAGACGTCTTATCTCATTTTTCTGTCCTTGCTTTATCCTCCCTCGAACACTGCAAAGCCTTATTTCATTCTTTATTCACCTTATATACAACCTAAGCATAATCTAGGTTGCAGCAACCATGGTGAATGGATATCAGCCTCTTTCAAAGACTGTCTAGGCCAAATTTGTGAGACCATAGAGAATAATAATTAATGGTCAGACAGGAAAGGTTGTCATGGTCAGAGTCTCAGAGCAAATTAATTCATTCAGTGCCAAGAAAGAATGCAGGCCAGTCATTTCCAGAGTCACCTCTGTCCTTGCCTCAGAAGTGGACCCAATAATGATGGGAGGCTAGACCTGACCCATACCACCCAGCCCAGGGTTGAAGCCCACCATGCCCTCCCTTTGCTGCTGACCTCTCCAATCATTCCATTCCATGTCCCATTGATCTTTTTTCCATGCTTGCCATTAGTCACCAAGTAAAGGTCATAGGTGAACTTGACAGACTTTGAGATTTTCTTGAGGATGTCTATGCAGAACCCCTTGCAACATTTCTTCATGTAATCTGGCTCCTCATCAGTTTTGTTCCTGAACAATCACAATAATAGGTGATGGTTTAAAAAAATGGGTTAAAAGACTGGGAGAAACACCTATAATTCCCCTCTGTTGTCAGTTTGCATTCCCCCTCCCACTATATAATGTGGAGAATTTATATTGTGCTCTCTGTGCCAGAGGGTGAAGGGACCCACTACAATGATTTGCCCAAAGGGACCCATCATGAAGGGGCATAGGACAGGCTGGGCAAATGGAGGTGATTTTCGAAAAAGGATTATAGCTTATGATGGTATTGGCCCAACAGACACTTTACATTCTGCTGAGACCAAAGCCCCAGATGAGCAGAAGAATACAGGGGTACATACTCAGTCACGATGCGTTTTTGGCAAGGGACCGTGTTCCTCATGCAGGTGCCACTTAGGGGGTCCACGTTCTCCACAATGACAAATGGTGCCTCTTCCAAGGTCACGATACTCAGGTGATCGTCCTCACGTTCCTCAGAGTCAGGATACAGCTCAAAGCGCGGCCACACGTAATACTTCATCTGCAACTTTTTTTCTTTCCATTTGCCCACCTGTGGAGACACAAACCACAGAAGATAGACTTCTAATCGTGCCATCCCTTTGCACTAACCACAGCTACTGCAGGACTGGGTAAGAGTACCAAACTCATGACTCATGTAAGATGGAGACATTTCTGGGGAGAAGGCTCTGAGTAAGTAGATTCAAACACGGGGGAAGTGCAGAACAAGAAATATCTCTGAGTTGTCTCATCTCTGTGATGGTCTCACCTTCTGGGAGAGTGAATGGATAACCATGGGAATACTGTAACTGTGGTCAGACTTATGTCCTTCAATTTTTTCAGCCAAACAACAGGAACACAATGACTTGATTTCATACCTTAGCTGGAAACAAGGAATTGTTTTACATTTCTGATGCATGAAAATTAATACCAAAAAGTATCTATGATGACTTTTAAATCTTTCTATTTTTCCCTAATTCTCATAACTTCCATAAATTTCTATTGCAATTTTAGAATAAATACTTAATTTTCCATTTCCTAAATTAATAGAGATCATATCTTCAGTAGTCAAAAAAAGGGGGAGGGATTCAATTATCTTATACCTCCTGCTAAGAATGAAAGCTGTTTAGAAGCCACTGCAGTCATTAAAGAGACAATACATGCAAGCTCACCCACTGCACAGGCAGACCATTTCTTGCAAAAAAAAAAAAAATCCAGGGAAAAAGAAAACTTGAACATCAACTGTACTTTCAACTATCAAAGTCTTGCCTTTGTTCTCAATTCCCTCTCCCACCATCACAGTTGACAGTAATTAGCACCTTGGCTGGCAACCAAAGCTGAGAGGGTGAAGAAGCTAACTGGGCTTTAGAAGAAGTTTCCTGCATGATCCTCAAAGCAAGTCCTCCAGGCCAGGACTGAGGCATGCTGACTTGATGGCAGAGGCAGTGTGGATGTGTGGGAAGCTTGCATGACTGCTCTTAGTGGTGTACCTGCTTGCTGGGTAAACAGAAAATCTTCATTCCACTCCAATCCAACACCCCTCCCACAACCCCCAAATTTCAGTCATTTATTTATTGAAATGACAGAATGGGAGGGAGAAACATTTATTAAAGGCTCATTAGGTGTCAGTGAATAATCTGTGAAACTCAAAGCCCAGCTGGGGTTTTGCATTTGAGAGTATCCAGAAGCCACATAAAACACTTGTCACCTTCAAAACAAACAAACACTTCATCTGCCCATGAAAGAAAAATCCACTCTGAGGGCAGTGGAGGGAGAAGAAAGGCAGAAGAAATCACCCAGAGATAGCAGTTTCCAGATCCACCCTCCATGTGCAGGGTGAACACAGCACCCCAATGAGCACAAGGCAGGGGGGGTTGTAAAAAGATGGGCTGTTGGTCTTGCCTTCCCAAAGGCAAAGAATGCCAAGGAGAGCTTGCCCATAATGTTCCATCCACCCATGGAGATGCTCTGTACTCATGCTAATATCTAAGAATGGATGTGGAAAGTGAATTTCTAAGGGAATAAAGAGAATAGACTCACGTGTTTATCCAGGGTCTGCTCAGCCCTGGACTTCCCACTCATTCACCAAGCAGTTCAATTTATCATCATCTGTGCCAGAGATTTCTGCAGTGCTACTTTAGCTCTCAAGTAACTGAGCTCAAATCCCCAAAAGTAGTAACTGCCACACAGGGCTCAGCAGGGACCAGTGATTAAGATGCTGCGCAGAACAGCCCAGTTTTCAGCTCAGTAACATTAACTTATCATAGAAATAAGTGGCTGATGAAAGAGACATCTCGCAGAATCTCAGCAGCACTTAGATATCTCAGTAACAGGCATGATATAACCCCCTAAGTGATAAATTAGATCAGATAGGCAAACCCAACCCATAATTACCCAGAAATTCTCTGGGACAGAAAGGGGAGTTCATAAGGCTGTGTGCCAGGCACGTCTCACAGTCTTGTACTACACAGAAACATTATGAAATTAGGATAACAATGACAGCATTGCCACAGCCTTCTGTGCACTAAATCACCTCACCTGCAACTACAGTAGTACACACCCATTCCTTATTATCACAATAAAATAATTCTAAATTTTCCAAAGAGGAAGAAAAACAGGAGGCAAGTAAATGTTCTGACCTAAATCTCCAAATCAGCCATGGATTGTCTCAAAAATATGTGCAAATGTTACATTTTAATGCTATCAGACATGCCATATAACCCCATACAGGTACAGATATTAATAAGAAAAGTCAGAAAATCATAGTGAATTAAAAGAGGGCAGACTTCTTTACATCCTTATGCATGCAAAAGTCAAATATATATGCACATAGTTAAGAAGGATGGGCATAAGCAACATGTGGGCAATAAGAAACACCACATGTGCAGAGGATGGAGACAATGCAAGATAAAGAATACACAAATGTGTATTGTATGCTAGATAATCTGCCATATGAGGGAAGGAGCAATTCACTGCAGGGACAGAAGCTAGCAGAATTAAATGTCAGAGATTTGTCCTGGTAAAGATGCCTAAGCCTAAAGAATATAACCTACCAAGCTGTGCAGAGCAGAGCAAGGCATTTCTGAAGTCTCAGGATACTTTGTATTAGCAGCCTATGAACTGTTATTACTTGGGTTCTGATGAGTGCTTGCCTCAGCAAAAAGAGGAAAAATAAACTATCCCAGGCATGCTTCCTATTGGTCACCCTGCAGTTTCAAGACCCGTAGGGTGTTCTCCAATCAGTCCAGTCATCCAAACTCCTACTAGGAGCCCTGAAAGGTCACAGAATAAGTAAAAGTAAAGATACTAGGAATCTATAAAAACTCCTTTCTAATTATATTCTCCAATCCCCATGTAATACTACTTTATGCCAGGACACAACTCCTAAGCAACAGAATTTCACCTTAACTGCCCCTTGCTCTATCTGATCTTGTCAAGAAAGTAAAGTCACTTTGGCTTGGGGGTGAATTTGAAGGTGTTGAAGGAGAGGAGTAGCTAACTTTTACGTTAAATATAAGATCCTATTTTGGATAACAAGATTGGAAGTAGAAGTCCAACACATTTGCAAAGAAAGAAAGGGAGAATTATTGTAGAACAGAAAGGTAATGACATATGCTATTTGTGTGTCTAAGAATATAAGTTATCCCATGCAGACAAAAGGCAAGATTGCCTGTGCAAGGGGAAAACAAGTGGGAGCCTTCTGAAAGCCTTCCAGCCAGCTGGCAAATTGCCTGAACCGCGGTATAATGCAGCCAGAACAAAAGAGTTCTGCAGTATGTTAATGCGCATCTTTAATGAAAGGTGCATCACATTAGTTCCTTGAAACTAATTCTTAACAGAGGCTTTTCTCTCCTCCCAAGGGAAGCTAAGGCTTGTAACAGCCATTTGTGGCAGATGTTTCTCTAACCTGCCCCTACACTGACAGAGACTCCGTGGTCTCCACAAGCAATCTATTCCAGTGCTTAGCTATCCTTCCCATTAAAAAGAGAGGTTTTTCTCCCGATGTTTAACCTAAATCGTCTTGCTGCAATTTATACCAAGAGAGTGTATTTCTTTATTCTCCTACATGTGCTCTTTTCAGTGTTATCAGGTCAGTAAGATATTTTTAACAGAGAGGAGCTGATAGTCTCATTCAGTGGCTGTCTTATGAGCTACATTGGCAAAAGCAGCCACTTGTTCAAATGACCAGCACCCAGTCTCACCATTTACAAAATCCTTACCCAGATGGGTAGTATGGACAAGTACAAGCTACTCCCATGAATTTCCAAAATCATCTGTTCCAACAAAGGCAGAAGTAAATCCCTGAGTTCCTCCTAATATGGCAAGGTAGGACTTCAAAACACAAGAGCATCTGAAAAGACCTATAACTACTATCAAGAGAGGAAAACTAAAACCTCCAGAAATTTGGTTTTCAAGGGCTAGGCAGGAGAGTACAGTTCTGAATTAAATCAGAAACATTCAGATATGTTTCTTAGGCAAGACACTCAGCAGCATTGCATGGGTATTTGTGGTGAAGGTTCGGGAGAGAGCCTGAAACTTCAGGTGCTTGTTTTTCAACAGGCTGCAGGAAAACCAGCTAGGCAAAGTCTCCTGAAAGTTATTATTTTATTCACCTCCTGTATGCACCATGCCTTGCACCACTCCTTTTTCATTTACAATCTTATTTCAATTCCTGCTCTCTCTCTTCCCTGCCCCCCACACCCCCCTGCCCCCCGCCCTGCTATAGAAGAAATGCAAAAGAAACAAAAGGGATTTGGTTTCATCTACAGAATAAAAAAAAAAGATTATTCCAAACACACTTAGGACTTGAACTGCCTTCAGAATTTCCCCAAAAGCTCAATGTTTCCTCCCTTATTATTGGTTCTTTTATTTCTTTTTCCCCAGGAGTTAAGGAGTTTTTTCATTCCAGTGGGGAAACACTAAAGCAACAACAGAGAGCATGAATTAGGAGGCAGAAAGTCCCTATTCCATGGAGAATCTCTGTAACTCGAGCTGCACCCTTGTGGCTCGACACTGGGTAAAACTGAGATAATGCCATGTTTTTACATCTGGGGTGCACTGGGTAGATACACACAGAAAAGGCCACGAGACTCACAGATACTGTAAAAGTGAGGAGACACATACACGTGTTTAGAGCTAGACAAGGGAACATATACAGCATGTATATGATGAATATATGATATATTATATCTATGAATGGTATAAATGTGAAACGTATAAATGTGTATGAATGTGAAAACTTCCTGTCTTTAATCTTTGGAAAAATCTTACATAACTTTTACTCCTGAATTAAATACATGAAAAATGGAAGATCAAATATAGAAAAGGTAAAGGTAGGATGCTGGACAAGGGGCAGAAAATTAGGACTGTTATTGGTAATATAGTTGATGGAGAAGCATACCTAACCCCTCTGGGAAGAAAGGAAGTCCAAGGAGAAATAAGATTCTTGTCAGTAGAATTGGTACAGATCCTAAATGAGGACATGGGAAAACCAGAACAACTGGGGAGGACCTGAAAAGGGCTACTCTAGAAGCACCATAGAAATAGCAGTTG